TATATATATATATATACTAACGCTGTAAGTGGAAATAGTGTAGTTTGACAGAATCACTTCGGACCGCTGTATCACACAATTTGAATTTATAGTTAAGCTAAATACGACTACCCCACACATCGTGTCCTTTTAGGATATTAGGCTTTGGTTGAAATGCATCCTCAACATTGCTCCGTTATGTATAATATGTCCTGTTTTCTATTGGGTTGAGTTAATCGTTTCCATATTTCTTATAAATAGACCAATGTATCGAAAGCACATGAGCCCTCTGCCGGTGAAATCGTATCAGAAACTCGTAAAAAACACAAATGAAAAAAAGTTGAAAAAAAAAATATTCGATATGTAGTCCGGAATAAAAGTTTTGTACATTCTCAAAGATATACAGAGCATCGGCATTAACATACGTGGTGGTCCAGTGCTTGTTGTTTTTAGAGGAGATCTTCATTTATTTATGGCCGTAGCACTCTGTAGCTTGAACAGCAGCTGAGCATACTCAGGAAGAACGTTGTTTTAGTATGACGATAGATCCAACAACGGCCATTTTGTTATGGAAGTTATAATGAAAACGACGTGCTTGGAGATCCGTAGTATCTAGCAGATCTGGCTCTGAGGAATTATTTTCTACTAAAAAGTTCTAGGTGGCACAATAAACAATCCTGAAATGAAATCTTCCGCAGATGTTGTCTTACATTCCAGTACATTAAATGCAGAGACGTCTTCTTTTCAAATATAAACATACTAAAATATCTGTCTCAATCACTCACGTAATAATCATGTTATAATAGTAAAATAGGTAAATACTGTGCAGGTATGTGAGCGGATAAGTAAGTCGGTAGTTGAGCAAAACCCGTGATTAGTAAGCTAAAAATAAGATTTCCTTTAAACTTTATTTATTATATATAAATATTGTAATAAGAAAACATATAATTTGCTATTCGAATTGAACGGATTACCGAGCAGATTATTATTATTATTATTATTACTGAACATATATCGACTTAGTAAAACCACCATACCCAACTGGTATAATTCGAAGCGATCTGACATTTGTTCCTGAATTTCTAATCATTTCATATCGTTCTGCTTTTCCAAAAATTGTCCACTTCATTGTTCGAATCCCCTAGCTCGTCGATGTGATAAAAGACTTTATGACGATTTATACCAAACAGTGTACCATTATCGACATAGAAAAAAGGTATTGCGTCCCCTATCTCCAGTGTGGTTAAAATTTTTCTTTTAGTAGGATTGTGACATCAGCTACGTATACAAGAATGCAATGAAACATTCAGGTCGCCGAACTTTCATGAATTATGCATTTATTGCTAATAAGCGCGGCAGAAACAAGTGGTGAAGTATTAGGCCTTAGGCAAACCGACTATAGCACATTAATGTTATTAGAGATCAGCTTTTGAAAGGATCTGCGTGCTAAACGCCAATTTTTGATATGTTGAAATTATTTAAATTTCGCACTTTGCGAGGCAATACGTCTACGCTGTCTATTACTGTGTCACTACGGCGAAACTTTTAAGTGAAATATGGCCATTCCAGGTTGGTCGACGGCTGACGTGCGGGACGGCTAACAACTGCAATCGACCTACCAAAACGAAACTTTACCAAACGCCTTCTTTCTGTTTCTTAGATTGAAAATTTTATCGAATGAGGAAGCCATCTCACATGTGAACCTATCTTTTGCGGCGCCGGAAAAACAGCAGCATCACTAAAAAAAGGTCCAAAACAGCTTTGGACAAGAGTTACCTGGTTTCTGTGTTAAGTTGAAAACTTTAGATTACCTATGTATAACATTCGACTACATCAATTAACAGTGTTTCATGAGCTATGTCGACAATAATTGTAACTGCAACACCCGTTAAGATAATGTCTGGGCGTGGAAAATTCGTGACAAAGACGTTTAAATTTATATTGGCTCATCAATATGTCAACGTAGGCTTTATTGGAACCCCATCTGGTTCGCAAACGTTTTCCCACTGCACGCATTAATTTGCTCCTTATAGAAGTTGCATCGTAATATTCCAGCATGGTAAACTTAATTTTACAAATGCTAGCATTCTAGAAACTGGCGGACCTAACTTTTCTTATGCGTCCAAAGTTATGGTTATATACGTTTTCAGACGACAGTTTCCATTCAAGTATATAAAAATTGACTCGGGAACGATGTAGTAATCTAACTGGATACTAATATGTAGTCAAGACCACAACGTTAAGGCACTGGCAAAGGGAAGAGTGCAATATAAAATCCATTCTTCTGTATAACTTTACGTTTTGAAATTTTTGCGGCGCATAGTTTACGTTATCGGACATTGAAACAAAAGTACGAAATAAGAAGCGATAAATCCACTAGCAACTACTCCTGATTGCAATCCCAGGAGAAAGGCAAATGTATGAACGTGCCTGAGCTCTTTAGTAGGTTTCTTTAAAAACCATAAAAAATTTGTACGAGTTTAGGTAAAGAACATGTATAACCTATGAGACGGTAGAGATGGGAATGGCTCAGCAAACAAAAAATCAAACGGAGCCAATTTAAATATCGCGACTCAGCTTTCGTCGGGCTTCTTTCTTAGTTTATCATGTTAATAATATAAAAATATTGAGAATAGTGGCAGAAACATTTATTTCTTCGCGTTGACCAAAGCTGAATAGTTCTTGCATCTATTTATTCATTAGGTGGGTTCGCCACAGAGATTGGCATCGTCGACTGATATGTTGTTTCTTTTTTGGGGCTTTTTGTAGAATCTAAGAGGGTGCGGACGTCAAAACAGCTAGATTGCCTTTACAAAGCAATACTTACTGCTAAGCTTGAAGAGGAGCATTAATTCAGCTAGTCTAATTTTACAGGAAACTTCAGCCCTCGATAAAAATAATCAGCAATAACAGGGTTTTTAGTTTGGTGGACTCGTCTTGTAAATTCGAAAGCTTTTTCACTGATACCTATTCTTCAATGTGAGTTATTTTTTGGCCAATGGGCTAGCCCTGTTTTCTTAAATGACAGATAATCGTTATGTATGATTTATATACAGTATTACACGGTATTTTAAAAATAAGACAACTACACTTTTTGCTATGATCCTGGATACTAACCAACAACTGAGCGGCAAAATCACATAGAGCTAATAGCGGATGATGTATGATCGACACGCTGGCGCGTAACAGATCGAACTATAGTGATTCAATTGGCGGGCAACGGAAAAACTCTATTATTTAGTGTCTAGCAAATGTTGTTGCCAATCACAAACAAGTGTAAATTGAACTCCCGACAAATAAAAAAGAACCAGATGTGAGAAAGCAATTTTCTCCATGTGACTTTCGCCAGCAGAGTCCGCGATTAAGTTAACGACTAGTAGAAATCAAACATATTTCGGGGGCTTATGCGGTTTTTTTTTCAAGGAACTTTACAGTCGTTTTCCAGGCTGCGAATTGAACGGACGGAGGTTTTATTCAGGGTCTATAACAGCAAGTTCTTCTAATAATATCTCATTGTATTAGGTTTAATTTTCACCGGTGAGCACGTCTTTTGAAAGAATAGATTAGCGCCAAGCCGAAGACTACTTATGCAATTTTGGTTCGTCTCAATGAGATAAAGAAGTACAAGGGTTAACTGTGGAAGGCCCAACCAATCTGATAGAGCTATAATATCTACAATAGTCCACTTAAGACAACGATACTTAGTACGCATTTAATACGCTGTGAGAGCCAATATGTCGGTAATACAACCCCACATTATGACAAAAAAAAAATCAACTGTGTTTTCAGCACGGATCCGCTGAATATCAGAGTCCAAAGAAAAATCGGCTCAGATTTTTGTTGTGCTACATCAAACGCTTGTTTTTTGTGTACGTCCATACACTGCACGGCCTTCCAGCGCATTTAGACGGCCTGTCTTTTTATTCAAACAATAAAATAGCCTTACCTGCAGTCCAGAGAGGTCACGAACACCAAATAACGGAAAATGACCTATACCACGGGTGACCAAAATGCTCGAAAGGATGCGTATGAGTTCCACGACTATCAGCATGAACACCCTATGATAAAATTAGACCATTTATAATTACAAGCCTAAGTTAAAAATACAACCTTTGGCAGTCTGTAATCAGATTTTGATTAGGCTTTTGTTTTTTTTTTTTTTATCAAACTTTTACTAAATTAAGCGTCAAAAAGCAGTGTTCTCCGGGTTGCGCTATACCGATTAATGCAACTATGATGGATTCCTCGCTAAAGTGCCCTGTAGTCGTCGCTACCGGCAAGGTAGCAATCTATATCGTTTATATTTAAATACACCTTTTTTAGGCCAAGGATGGAGCTTACGATAATAGGGGCATGGCATCTAATCTCCAATACCTACTGCGTATAGGATTTGCAGAAGCACCACTCCCACGCATCCCTTCGGGTTTACCCCATGCGTTCGATTAAGGTTTCGCCTTGGGCTGAATGAAATATTTGGCCTAATGCTAAAAAGAGACGATATTTCTTCACGTCTTGCTTCTCGAGATTGCTCTTGGCATTTGCTCAAGTACACGTATACTAAGCTGATGCAAGAGCGAGATGATAAATAGCAAACAGACTTCCTTCAAACGCATAACGACAACGACGTCTTCTGAAAAAGTTTAAGACAGAAAGTTAGTATGCTTTTCTAGGTAGAACTTCAAGACTGGATAATAATTCAACAACATCAACTTGATTTATGCAAACAAACACGGGATTTCTAATGACAAAATGTTTAAAAATACTGCTTTCTATTACGCTTGTAGATTTGACTGTTTTTTTTTTGTCATTTCTGCTAAAAAAAAAAATACGCTTTAATCTTTGGAGCCAGTACTTGTGAATTGTAGGGGATAACACCTGATTTAGACCACCTAACAGACACTATGAACTGTTGTATTGCTTTAGCAGTTCAGTTGCACATACTCACAAATGTAATCGTGTACGCTTCTCCTAGAAGATCAATTTTCCTTATCACGGTCACAATTCGATGTGAAAATAAAATACTCTTGCAATGTAAAAGGAAAGAGAAACAGGCGTTTCTACATTTTTCTTACCCTCGTCCATTTGTTCAATCTTTTCGCTATAAAACTTTTACCGACACACACAGGTATGATATTTTCACTGCATTATTCATTTTTATAAGGATCGTCGTGGAAAGTAAAGTGAACTTAGGCTGCCAACAGGCTTCTGCTCTAACCTGTTTATTGGTTTATATTTATATTAAGAAACGTAGCTAATTGACTGGTCTGCCATTCTAGGTCCTCATCGGCCTGGAATGACCCACCGAGTTCAAGTGCATCTTCCAAGTCCACGAATATACGTTTTAACCTGGCCAATCTTTGCCACAGACGGCGCAAATATTCCATACTACTTTCGAAGATTTTGACCTTCGCAAAAGAGAAAATAGTAGGCATCAAAAGTGCCTTTCTTATTTAAAACCGCTGTCTTTGTAGCTTTTTCTTTATTTTTTGGATAAAATTCCATATAGTGCATAATAATAG